TTGAAGACACTGTTCAACCATTACAGCACCTAAATTCACAATATCGAGACCTGGAAAACTCACAATGGAAGCCCAGAAATTGCGATCATGCTCTACAATAAATGGTATGATCTGAGCCGAACTTCCGAGTACGATAAGGAAGGCAGGAAAGAAAGCTTGTCGACATTGAAATTGAAATGTGGAAGGGCAGTGTAGCTTGAATGAAGTGAGGGTCTCTGGGGAACGCGTGGAACATCATGCGTAAGGGCATTCTGCTCCTTCAGGTCTGTCGAATTCTGCACAAAGAAATTGTGCATACTCATATAGGGACAGCTACACTTGATTACTACCGCGCTATTCTCTTTCCACCAGGTGCATACGTGCAACACAAGGTAGGTGAAGTGGAGGCATGCAACGCCGTATGCCGACGTAGTCCTCAGAAGCCGTCCAAGGACCAAACGCGGACCAAATCCTGCACAGGCCATTCATTCCCTTCATCCCGTCCGGAACTACTTAATTGGCATTTCAGATCGGTGGCACTGTGAAGGCTCCCACCACTTACACTACCCAGAAAGAGATTTCTTAGGTTTTTTGAGTGAGAAGGTTCTCCAATAAGTTCTTGACCAGTCGAATCTCTCAAGAAGCTTTGATGAAATATCCCATTTCGTTCGACGTCCTTCATTCCGATCTCTCTCAGAGAAGTTTTCCGCTGTCTCATCGGCATCGCTTGCAAACCTGGAAATATTCCGGGCAGCGACTTACAACGTGTATGCTTTGCACCCCGAAGCCAAAACCTTCCGGAGCTGTCCTAGTTCTCCTAGAGCCAGTGAACCATATCGTCAGTTGCTGTCCACTCGAAGATAGTTAGTATCCACAACACACTGGCGAGCACACAAAGTTTCACGCATGAAGATTCGGTTTCTGAAGAGAAACAAACGTACAAAAACTACACGTTATGGACCATCGAAGGACCAGGAGGCAGAGCCAGGCGAGGCATGGAAAGAAGACGGCGTTTGGCCGGCTACGTACCAGGCGACGCAATGAGAGAATCGGGTTAAAGCGCGCGATTTCGGAGAGTGGAGACAAATCGATCGATGGAATAGGATGGAGTAGAAGTGTAAGATGTGAATGCAACGAAGCAGAAGGCCAGAAAGAGCTTCTAGTGAATGCACTCCAAGAACCAAGTTTGAGCATCCCCGTCGCCAGCATTCGTGAAAGACGTCCGTGGGCAATTCGAACGCGTAGCAGCCTTTTCGAGTTTTCGAATTTCTAATCAAAACGAAAGCAATACTTCAGTTCTTTTCACTATTATCGTGGATAATGAGTCTCAAGCCAGTGATTTATGGCTGAAATAGAATCATGATTTTTCCGCGCAAGATTCCTTTAAATTCACTAATATGAAAATGTAAAACTTTTACAATGGAAGCCGCCCAGAACTTGACGATCATTTGCTCTACAATAAATTTGTATGATCTGAGCCCGAACTGCGGAGTACAATAAGGAAGGCAATAAAGAAAGCCTTGTGCGACATTCGACAAATTGAACATTGTTGAAAGTGCAGTAATAGTGCTGAATGAGTGAGGGTCTCTGTGGAATCAGCGGTGGAACCAATCATGCGTAAGGGCATTCTGCTCCTTCAGTTCTGTCGAATTCTGCACAAAGAAATTGTGCATACTCATATAGGGACAGCTACACTTGATTACTGCCGCGCTATTCTCTTTGACACGCAAGAGCCACGTTGGCAGCAACAAAGGTAAGTGACGTGGGCAAGCAACAGACAATATGGCCGCATAGTCTTCAGGCCGTCCAAGACCAACGCGGGCCCCCATCCTGCACAGTCCAATCATTCCTTCATTGCCTGGATACATCCCTTAAAGGACGAATTCACGATGAAAAAGCAACCCATTTCAAATTAACCTAGGGATGGTGAGTGGTACACGAAAGAAGGAAGAACCATGAGAAACGGCCCAGAACCCGAGAAATGGTACCCCTTCCTTGCCCGTTGATTCGAGCATTGATGCGACTCTCATCGCTGTGCCCTCTTCAACACTACGCTCTCTCAGCTATCTAATCACTCGCCACGTATTGAACTACGGCGAGTGATCAGATGATCGGTGGGCGGAGATCGCCGGACCCGCCAGCTTTGATAGGTCGCCGAGGTCAAATTTTTCCATGCGAATTGCGCGTCAGTTCGCACCCTCAGGAGGTCCGTGGGTCCCTCAACTAGGTCAGTTTCCCTTTCTTCGACCTTCATTCTAATCGTGAATTCCTCCTTTAAGGCATTTCAAATCGGTGGCATGTGAAGAGGAGGAGTGTAAAAGCCGTTGGCGCTAGTCCACCTAATGGCTTCTCTCCAGTTTCAGCTAAATCATCTAATAATAGCATTTCTTAGGTTTATTTATAACTTAGTCTGAGAGTATAAAGAAGGCGCGATTCACAATGAATAAATTGGCCAAGTGCGGAACTCGTTTCAATAGCTCCCTAGTTACTTTGCCATCGACCTGCAAGATCCTTTTCAAAGACCACGAAGTTTTTCAATAAAACACTTGACCAGGTGCCCAGCGGAGCCACGCCAACTCTTGGAGTGCCACCCTCTTGCCAATACCCCACCCTGCAGTTCATTTTGGACGTACTATTGCCGAACTTTTTTGTGTAAAGATAAAAACGTTCAAGCTGTCCAGTCGTTAGCTGGGCCAGCCAGAACTTTATTGTATCAGATGAATCCTTTTACATCGCTTCTATTCTGAAGACAATTCGAGTGCTTGGCGCATCACAAGAACAAAGTTCATAATATCCGATGATTTCATTATTTATTATACTTCAAAGGACAAGAGAATACAAGACTATACAACTGGCAGTAGACTATTCATGTGTACTAAACAGATAAAAGGCAGTGAGATTCTGGGCTAGAAATGGAATGGAAGAAGCTTGAGCGGTGATCGAAGCTTTATTTTTTGGACCGGTAATAGCGGGTTAGATCGTGCCAGAAGCACGCCTTCATATTTTCAAAGCGATCGAAGCACGGCACGTACGACATATCCAATTGCTTGGGATGTCCTGAAATAAACATAAATCACGTCTAAATATAATATCTCTAAAAGGAAGATAAAGCATTTGCCGTTGATCAATCCCTTTTTGGGATGCGGCACGCATTCTACTTCCATTTGTACATTCGTAGTGGCGTTTGAATGCGATGTGGCCTATACAATGACTTGCGGGGGCCAGCCGATGTACAAGTCAGTGTTTTTATCCTCCCAGACAAGTCTGGTACCAATTAACCGACCCCGGAGGGATGGAAGGCTTGGTTGGCCCGGGCGACTCACGACCCAGGATTTGATCCCCGGACCGCTCGCGTGGTAAGCGTGCCACTTGCCACTACACCACTTCCGCCCAAAAGGTGACGTAGGGTGCATCAAATTTGAACTTTTCTGGTATTTTCTCTCATTCTGAAAGTTATTAAAATATCGAAATGAAGCTTTCAAATCAAAAACAAAAGTTGAACATTGACCAGGATCCGTCAAAACCGTTGATTTTTCGTTCCCAGCCGGGACCGTAATTGGAAGAGTGTGGATGGACTGAGCCTCCCACAATAGCTAAGTTCTATTCCATTGCAAGGTCTTATTCCAAAGAGCTGAGTTATCTCTGAGTCACCACGTAAGATGGGCTTACGAGATCGCGAAACCTAACCCGGCTAGGAATCCACCGAACAGTGTTGGAGATGTCGAATTTACGATATCAGTCTCCATCTTAGCAATAGAAATCGAAACAACAGCGCGTGAAGCCTTGAAAGCCCTTTGATTGCCGCCATGAACATCAAAATGAATAGAAAATAGGAATTTGTGGCGTTAACCCGTAACCTCGCTCCATTTCTCGGCCTCTGCGAATTTTGATCAACAGTTGTCGTGGAAAGTACTTATGTACAGTGAACTGAAATTCAAGTTCTAGTGGTGGTCCCTCTCGCTCCTTGGCGACAGACATCAAGGTCAGCTGGTAACACTTTCAGCTGGCCAACACCGACTGCGGGCTTTCTAGTTCACGGTAGGCGCCTGCAGGATTGTTGGAAGCTTCGAGGGGTCGAGCTCAAACTTCCTGTCTTCATCAGGCTTTGAGGAGGGCGAAAGAAGCCGAGCGCCCCGAAGAAGCCAAAGCAGCAGCTTTATCAAGTATTACAATCTTGAAGAGGCTTCAATAAACTATGAAACCGACTCCTAAACGTCAAGATCAAAAGAAAGTCAGCCGTGGACTAAATCTACGACCATTTCATTTCTCTTCCTTTTTTCCACTTTTTCAAAAAGTTAGAGGACTGAACAAACCTAGCCGTTGGTCGCAGAATGTGAGGCATTTCATGCCGGCGAGAGTTGTTGTTACTCCATTACGAGCACAGCATGCCGTGTGATCCCTGAAACAAACACTTTCGATTGACTCACAAGAATGTGGGGTTGTGAACAAAATTTTTACCCCAGACGGGACTTGAACCAGCCCCTTCTTCTGAAACATTTGTAAGGCGAACTGCGGCCGAATCAGCAGTTAACAAAAAAAACAGGTAAAACATTCGACTGTTTCTCGAAGGATTCAAACGCAGCTCTCCATCAATTGGTTTTTGTATGAGCCACGCATGCGACTTCGTATCGAAATCGTAGAAGCATTTGAAAGCAGGTTTACTTGATACATATAACGGAGTAACTTATGTATGACTCAGCAGTTTTGACTTCTTGATTAACTGAAATCTTGACACCAAAGAGATGTGCTGGGTTGTTAACCTGAGTGTGCCAAAAGTCCAGAAATTATTTAAGGACCGCCAAATTTGAGGGGAAATATCCAGGAGCAGAAGAACCTAGACACCGGAATCCAATAAGTAATAAGGGTGTCAGGAGTATAGAGGGTGATCAATGACGCCGAAGGCAGGCCGTCCCGAATAGGTTAAGGGCATTTGTGCTTGAAGGCAGCCCGACTCTAAGCCCTAACCATAAGAGTCACTTCCACTCCACTGAAATGAGGAACGCTTAGACGGGTCTGCTCTTTTGAAAGATTACTGAAACTGTAAAAAGAAATTTACGTGATTATATTCACAAAAATTCTCTAACACCACTTGTGCAGAATTACGTAAAAGTTAAAGTATTTCAAAAAAGACATGGAATTCTCTGAGGTCCTAATTCTCCCGGGTGGAAGAGTACTTTATTATAGCTCTTCATTGAGCCCCTCGACGTACTTACTTTTGAATCCACCCGAATTTCAGAATTTTCGAATACGTAAAGGGTCTTTGGAAATGAAAACGTGCACATATTGGCCCTACAAGCTTTTCTTCGAATCAAATATGCTTTTACAAGCTGCGCTACGACCATTCTGAATTGAGGTCAACTGGCGCCTTCGAGTTAGCCACTGTAAATCAGGCTGACACATTACCCTCGTTTTTACAGACCCTAAACGCAACATCCCAAGATCAAATTTGTTGGGTCACAAAGGTCGATGGTAGAATTACCGAGTGCCGAGTTCACCGAAAACAAAACAAAGAAGCGAAGAAAACTGCCGGTGAAACCCCACACAAGTCCCCTTCCTCCTCTGAAATAAGGAAGGGCGGGCCGGACGAGTTGCACGAACTTGCTTGCTCCATGGCTCCACTAACCCGCGCGTATTTGAATTAGCCGCTACGCCGTAATCCACGTTGCGTGTCATGGGGTGTGCGCGAGGTATCTCGTCCATAGTTAATTAGTCTCTTAGCTTCTTTGTAAAGCCCTAGCGCCATTGTCGCGCACTTTCGAGCCGCGACAACGGCAATCTGCGATACTCGGAGACTACTCCATACCTCCTATTTCCTACCTCCTATTTGTTTTTCAAGTTTCATAGCTCTTGCTAAGAGGGCCCCTTATGCGTCTTTGTCGATTCTGCTTAGGGTGATTTTTTCTCCTTAAGAGTGTTTTGAATCATGAATAAATAAATGACGATAGCCTGATTAGTGCCCTTGACTGCTA